ACATTGCCCTTCATTTTAAATATTATTTTTAAAATATCACAGCCCCTACTGGCCGGCCGGTCACCGGACCTCTGGCAGCGGCGGTCACCGGACCTCTGGCAGCGGCGGTCACCGGAGCTCCGGTGGTCGGAATTTTTTTTTTTGAAAATTTTTACAACTTCAATATAACGGTTAACAACTTTTGTAATGCTATTAACAACTTCAGTATAGCAATTAACAACAACTTTTCTGGAAAATTCAACAAACTCCGGCGACCGGAAACAATTATTTTGAAAATTTTTACAACTTCAATATAACCGTTAACAACTTTTGTAATGCCATTCACAACTTCACTATAGCAATTAACAACAGCTTTCTGGGAAATTCAACAAACTCCGGCGACCGGAAACAATTTTTTTGAAAATTTTTACAACTTCAGTATAGCGGTTAACAACTTTTGTAACCCTATTAACAACTTCAGTATAGCGGTTAACAACAACAAACTTAGGCGACCGGAAACAATTTTTTTGAAAATTTTTACAACTTCAATATAACGGTTAACAACTTTTGTAAGCCTATTAACAACTTCAGTATAGTGGTTAACAACAGGTTTTTGAGTTTGTTAAAAGCATTACTGAAGTTATAAAAAAGCCACTTTTTGAATTTTTCGAAAAACTTGTTGTTAACTGCTATATCAAAATTGTTAACCGTTATATTGGAGTTGTAAAAATTTTTCAAAAAAACGTAATTGTTAACGTTATACTGAAGTTGAAAATTTTTACAACTCCAATATAACGGTTAACAACTTTTATAATGCTATTAACAACTTCAATATAGCAATTAACAATAAGTTTTCTAGGAAATTCAACAAACTCCGGCGACCGGAAATAATTTTTTTGAAAATTTTTACAACTTCAGTATAGCGGTTAACAACTTTTGTAACCCTATTAACAACTTCAGTATAACGGTTAACAACAGGTTTTTGAGTTTGTTAAAGGCATTACTGAAGTTATAAAAATGTCACTTTTTGAATTTAAAAACTTGTTGTTAACTGCTATATCAAAGTTGTTAACCGTTATATTGGAGTTGTAAAACTTTTCAAAAAAACGTAATTGTGAACGTTATACTGAAGTTGAAAATGTTTACAACTCCAATATAACGGTTAACAACTTTTGTAATGCCATTCACAACTTCAATATAGCAATTAACAACAGCTTTTTTGGGAAATTCAACAAACTCCGGTGACCGGAAACAATTTTTTTGAAAATTTTTACAACTTCAGTATAGCGGTTAACAACTTTTGTAACCCTATTAACAACTTTAGTATAGCGGTTAACAACAGGTTTTTGAGTTTGTTAAAGGCATTACTGAAGTTATAAAAATGTCACTTTTTGAATTTAAAAACTTGTTGTTAACTGCTATATCAAAGTTGTTAACCGTTATATTGGAGTTGTAAAACTTTTCAAAAAAACGTAATTGTGAACGTTATACTGAAGTTGAAAATGTTTACAACTCCAATATAACGGTTAACAACTTTTGTAATGCCATTCACAACTTCAATATAGCAATTAACAACAGCTTTTTTGGGAAATTCAACAAACTCCGGCGACCGGAAACAATTTTTTTGAAAATTTTTACAACTTCAGTATAGCGGTTAACAACTTTTGTAACCCTATTAACAACTTCAGTATAGCGGTTAACAACAGGTTTTTTCAACCGATTGAGCCAACAAATTCTTGCTAACATTATAATACAAAAAAAAATATAAGTTAACTCATTGAAGTTGAACTGCCCTTAATTGTCGCTTTGGGGTTACTCCAAAAATTAACCGAATTAATGCAATATAGTGCAAAACTCGGGTCGTTTCACTTTGAGGAGCCGAAAACGAAATTAAATCCTAGTAAATGAATGCAAGTAACCTAAACTATAAAAAGAGATTTTTGATTTTGAAAAGCTGTTAATTAAATACTACGAATCAAATTGAAATTAAAATACTTTTTTTTTTGTTTTTATATAAAAGTGATTAAAATGAATGGAGATTAAAGAAATGAAAATGAGACACACAAATAACACTGATAAAAATCAATCCTCCAATTCAACAACGCAGGCAATCATCACTCTAAAGGATGTGGGAGTTAAAAACAATGAATTAAGAATTATAACTAAGCTTTTGATCCAACAACCGAGCCACCTCGAGTTGCCACAAAATATTTTCCTAAAATCCCAACTTACTAACTGCAACCAGAATAGTAAAATGGGATTAAGGATGCTTAAAACCAATGCTTAATTAGAACTTTTAAATCCAAAATAACAGAATTAAAGCTAGTAAGAGACTATATGATCCAAAATTCTAAGCCACCTTAGAAAATCACAATATATTAATTCCAAAATCAATACAAATGTCATAACCACAACATTATAATTGAGATCAAAACTATAAACAGTCCAATGTCAAATACTAAGCAATAATCCAGTCACAATAATCTCCAAATATAATCAGATTAAGCAATACAATTATTTTCTAATAATTAGAATAACTATCCTAAGACCTAGGAATTGTTAAACAATTATTAGACAGGAAATTAAAGCAACTAAAACTCCCCTTTGATGATCTAAGCTCCTGCCATTATTGTTGAATTAGAGAATTAGGAATTAGCCACGCATAGCCATGAAAATGCCACAATCAATCCTCTTTTGCGGTCAGCCATGGAAGAAATGACGGAAAAGTGGTCCTCACTGATTCTGTGCGCCGGCAAGGAGAGACGGTGGTGATGGTGGTGAACGGAGGCGCTCGCTCCTCTGGTGTTTCTGCCCAGCCCCCAGCTCGTTCACGTGCGTCTTGCGTCTCTCCTCTGGCTCGTTTCGGTTCCAGCTCGTGAGTGTGTTCAGCTCCGTGCGGCGCGTTCGTGTGTCTCTGTTTTTTCGTCCGGCCGCCAGCACGCTCCTGCTTCCCTCTATCTCCTTCCGCCACTCAGCGTCTCCTCTCTCGTTCAGCTTGTTCGGCGTCGTGTGTGTGCGCTCTTCGCCTTGCTCTGTTTCGTGTGTGTTCGGCGTTCTCCCCGTCCGCCCCTCCAGCTGATGATTATAGAATATTAGGTTGGGAGAGGGCAAAACGTTGCGTTTTGCTCTCCCCTTTTATTATTGTTATTTATTTTTTTTTCTTTTCTTCTTTTTTTTTATTTTTATTTTTAAATCTTCCAAAAACCTGAAAACAAAATTTAAAAATAAGGTAGCATTAATTGTCCTCAAAAATCAATTAGTCACAATTAAACCAAAATATGACAATTTTGCCCCTATAAAATAATAATTCAAAATAAATCAATTAAGGCAAAAAGGGACCAATTAAGCTGACAAAACTCATATAAAAGATACCAAAATATATAAAAATAATTGAGTTTGTCACTCATTTACTCTTGTTCCAGGTGATAACAATAATACATTTGAAAATAACAAGTTCTGATTATAAAATAACAAGTCTGGGATTAAAATTTAACAACACGCTTTTTTTATAACAACACACTCTGTTGCAGGTGATAACAACAATACATTTGAAAATAACAAGTTCTGATTATAAAATAACAAGTCTGGGATTAAAATTTAACAACACGTTTTTTTTATAACAACACACTCTGTTTCAGGTGATAACAACAATACATTTGAAAATAACAGGTTCTGATTATAAAATAACAAGTCTGGAATTAAAATTTAACAGCACCTTTTTTTTTTATATAACAACACATTTTATTCCAAGTGATAACAACAATACATTTGAAAATAACAAGTTCTGATTATAAAATAAAAAATCTGAAATTAAAATTTAACAACACATTTTTTTATAACAATTAATTATTTTATACTTTTGAAAAATAAATTATTTATAACTTATAAAAAGTATTTTAAATCTATTTAATTTGCTAAAAAAATAATTTTCATCTCCAATTTATAATCAGAACTTGAAGTGTAATTTATTATAGATTAAAAATACTTTTTTATTGTTCAAATTTATAAATAAAATTTAGGGAAAATGACAACACACTTTTTTAATTTTTTTATAAAAAATTTTTAATCTATATATCTATACAACTCATTATAAATCAAACTACTTCTTATAAATTATAAATAGTACAATTTATTGTAGATTAAAAATACTTTTTGATTGCTTAAATTTATAAATGAAATTTATCTCTAATTTATAATTAAAAATACTATTTTATTCTTTAAATATGAAAACTATTTTTAATATTTAAAGAATGAAATAATAAATTATACTATAATATTTAAATACTTAATAATAAATTTTAATATTTAAAGAATGAAATAATATAAAAATTTATACTATGATTTATAGATTAAAAATACTTAATTATAAATGCTTTATAATTTATAAGAAGTAATTTGATTTATAATGAGTTGTATAGATATATAGATTAAAAAGTATTTTTTAGAAAAAATAAATATATTAAAAATATTTTTATAAGTTATAAATAATTTATTTTCCAAAATCATAATATAAATAATTTTCTAAAAAAACGTGTTATTAAATTTTAATCCCAGACTTGTTATTTTATAATCAGAACCTGTTATTTCCAAATGTATTGTTGTTATCACCTGAAACAGAGTGTGTTGTTATAAAAAAAAACGTGTTGTTAAATTTTAATCCCAGACTTGTTATTTTATACTCAGAACTTGTTATTTTTAAATGTATTGTTGTTATCACCTGCAACAGAGTGTGTTGTTATACAAAAAACGTGTTGTTAAATTTTAATCCCAGACTTGTTATTTTATAATCAGAACTTGTTATTTTCAAATGTATTATTGTTATCACCTGAAACAAAAGTAAATGAGTTAACTTATTTTTTTTTTGTATTATAATGTTAGCAAGAATTTGTTGGCTCAATGGTCATTTCTAATTTTGGAAAGCATTAGGTTGGGGGATCAAATCCCCCCAACCTCACTTCCCCCCAATTTTTTTTTTTTTTAAAAAAACAGTTTCAAAAAAAAATAAAGGAAGGCTGCCGGCAATGGCCGGAATCCGGCCGCCGACGCCGGAGCTCCGATGCCGGCGGCCGGATTCCGGCGAAGCAGTGGTGTTCTTTTTTGAAAAAAAAATTAAAGAGGGGTATTTTGGTAATTTGGCTATGATTTCATAATTGCAAATTGGAACCGGGTCCTTGTGAGCAATTTTTTAATTTCAGGGTCCCTGATTGCCATTTTATATATTGGGGGGTCTTTATTTGTAATTTCTCCTTAATTATATAAAGTGAATCATGTTGATTAGGACTGAGGGGACACAACTTGTGAATATTATGACTTACTACTTCCAATCCTAATTATAAGAACTAGTTGACTAATTTGAAGAGATTAAGAAAAGAAATTAGGTTAATTATTTGTCATAAATAGATATTATCTTTCTTAAAATATCCTTGCTAATCAAGTGTATTGGCTAGAACTATTATTGTTAGAAGGACTATCTTAAAAAAAATACATAAACATTAGAGACAAAGTGGATTGGGGTATTATATTTAGGACCAAAATAAAAATCAAATAAAGTCTCGTATTAAGTATAGGAGATAGTATTATATATTTTACATGAAGTGATGTTAATATTTACAGGGTAAATGTCCAGTTTTATTCTATAAATACACGGGAGCCGCGTTGCCAAGTAGAGGAAGAGTGGTTGTTGCAGAGATTAAAGAAATCAAGAAGTGTGATTATTTGTGGAGCAAAGGCCATGGACCAGAGGTTGGGGAAAGCTGCAATAGATGGAGATGTTCACACACTGCACGACCTATTGGAGGAGGATCCTCAAATACTGGAGAAAGCGTGTTCAGTTCATTTTGCAGATTCACCTCTTCATGTTGCGGCGAGATCAGGGAAAGCAGATTTTGTAAACCACATCGTAACTCGAATGCCTTCATTAGCCACTGAGACAAACCAGCAAGGTATGATCCCATTGCACGTGGCTTCTTTACAAGGTCATGTCGAGACAGTGAGGGAGCTGTTGAAGGCAAATCTTGATGAAGATGATGGAGTGAATCAGTGCCTTGTGATGGACAGGGAAGGCTGGACTCCGCTGCACTGTGCATCACAGAAAGGCAAAATCATGGTGATGGAAGAGTTAATCAGTAAATGTCCCCAGTGCCTCGAACAAGTGACAGCAAAAGGAGAGACTGTTCTTCATTTGGCAGTGAACGCCAATCAATTTGGAGCAGTGAACGTGCTGGTGGAGAGGATCAAAAGGCTTCCAAATTTTCAGACACTGTTGAAAGCGCAGGACCAAAAAGGCCAGAGTGCCTATCAACTGGCGGCAGCAAAGAGACAGTACCAGGTATACATATATGCATTAAGAAATACTACGTCTGGTCCTAATAAATACGTATAAGATCTAGTTTTGTAGTGTAAATCCCACTACAAACTAGATCTTATAATTGGGACCAGAAGTGTAGTACTCCTCCGGTCCTTATTATAAGATCCAATTTGACTTTTTATTTGGTCCTAATTATAAGACCCAATCCATTTTGTCTCTTATATTTATGCATTTTTTTCTAAGATAATCCCTCTAATAATGATAGTTTTAGCCAATATACTTAATTAGCAAGGATATTTTAGGAATGACAACACTTATTTATTATAAATAACCAACTTAACTTACTTCCTTAATCTCCTCAAATAAGTCAATTGGGTCTTATAATTAGGACCGGAGGAGTATATAATTTGCCATGCATCTGATCAATATATCTGAGTGTTCATGCTGATTGGAATTAAGTGTGGCATCAGGTACTAGAGGTATTGAAGGAAGATGAGGAGGAGGGTGGTGAAATAAGTGAGGAGCGTCAAATAAACGTGGAGGGGGAGGGGAGTGATAACGAAGCATCTGAAAAAGAGAAAAGTAATAAGGAAGGGCAGTCGCAGGAGGATGCAATACGAGTGGCGGCCGCTTTATTTATAACATTGACGTACCAAGCTTTGGCAAATCTTCCATCACTCTTCGTCACAGATGGCAGAGTTACAGCAGCCGGTTATCGATTCTTGTTTGTGAACACCGTGACCTTCCTCCTGTCAATCCGCGTCCTGGTTCCCACTTTGATGCTGGGCCCAAGAATGGCCCCTTTGACAGTGATCGCGTGGTGGCTCTGCGGATGTTACGCCACATTGCTCATTGCTTTAGACCATGGTCTGCCCATAATAACTTTCTTTGCTGCTGTGCTGATAGTGGAGGTTTTCCACTCATGGCCACAAATCAAAGAACGAAGCTCACACCTGGCATATATGTTGGCAAGAAAAATGGCGTCAAAATGAAAATGGATATATGACAAGGTGTCCATACCATCAGCAACCTGAAGGATCTTAGCCAACATATAATTAATTTGTTTTAGAATTTGGGTTGTGTTTGATATGTGGGAAATGGAGGAAATAGGAGGGGAAGGAAAGTTTTAATGAGCTTGATTTAAAAAATTAAAAAAAAATCTTTGCTCGTAATGAGAATGTAATCAAATCTTTTTCTTTTCCTACATTTTATGTCTATGCAAGCATGCCACGTACTTGTTATAACGGGTTGTATGGATTTACTTGCACATCAGTATTTGCTCTAAACTGAATGAAAAAGAATGATTCAGTAAAGCAAACCTTTCATGCCCAAGACAACCGAATGATGAGAAACCCAAACTCATCAAATTTGGATTGTTTAGATATGATTTGAACGGTTTTATTTTTTTAAAATAATTATTTTAGTGGTATATAACTAAAAAAATAGTCTCTTAACTTTCTTTTTTTTTGAAAAATAAATATTTGAAAATTTTGAATTAGGGCCATTCATATTTAATCATCATGATTCAAATTTGATGAATTTAGGTACTCATTCCTCGTAATGAGCACTCAAATCAGGTCCTAAGGACAACATCTTGAAATATTCAGAATTCTCTAACACCTTTTCCTCATTATTTGTCAAAACCAGCTAGTTTTGATGATCATCACGCTTATCGTTGCAATGAGATCTGCATCATCTAAATATAGTTGCAACAATCTAGATCTAAAATTTTCAACTCATAGTTTTTAAAATACAAAAAAAAATCATATTTTGAAAAAAATTTACATTAAATTAGACGAAAGAGTTGTGAATATTTGAAAGAGCTTGTAACTCATCGGAATAATTTACATGATGATAAAGTGATATTTTTGCTACCAAGAAATTGGAAAAAGCAAGAGGAAAACATAGATGGACAACTGACATTATAACTAAGAGTGATCTTATGTGCAACTCGCTTGAGATGCCAATGTACATTGTCTTATAGGCATTGCGTATTGACAGTGATATATTTTGTATTTCTTATTCAAATTGGTTGTGAATATTATACAAGATTATATGTAATTTAAAATCATGTTAGATCATGACATGTGACTTGAAATCTAATAATATCATGATTTTAAATCATATTTTTAGTAGCAGGGAATTAATAAGCGAGGGTGCTGCCTAGCTTGCATTGACAAGTGACGATGTCAAATTAACATATCACATTAAATCATTATAATCTAACAAGTATAAGTAAATGGATGTCAAATTATAAATCTATTAACTGAAAATTATAATAAACAGCATAGCATATAAATTTACATTGAATTTATGTCTGTTTAATTCTCATTTTCTGAGTAGCATGGGTGGGCTTGGAAAGTATTTGGATTAGCCTTTTGAAAATAATTTTACAGCGGTTGAGATAAATATAAAAAAAAAATTTCATCTCAATTTACGTAAAAATATTTTTTCAGCAAAACTATTTCAATAATCCTTGTAGTGTCATCAATTTTTGAATTAGATTCGTATAATTTTTTTTATCCGATCCTTATTATTTGCTTGGTCTTAATATAAATCCCTCCGTTACCGACGCCGTTACTATAACCGAAAGAGAGTGGTTTGGCACTAAGTAAGACGGAGCATGCGTCTTCTTTGCCTCTCTGGTTCTCCCCTGCATCCCCTCCCGGCTCCATTTTTACTAGGCTTACATTTCAGCTAAGCCTTTGCTACCTTCTCTGTCCTTCTCTGTCTCTCTCTTTGTTATTCTCCAGTTTGCAAATTCCGGTATGCAAGGAGTTGTTGAGACTTCTTCAACTTTTGACTGCATACGTTCATTTTTCTCTTTATGTCACGCATCACGAAGCAGCTTTTTTTTTCCTCTTTACTTTTTTCTCTTTGGGCATTGAACAAGTAAAGAGCAGAGTAGAATTGGCGGTGGAGTAGCTCATCATGCCTCTTGGAACACGCATAGTCATTTCTTGACGTGACTGCTTCTTTTTTATCAATTCTCTTCAGCTTCTTTTTACCTTTGCTTTTGCCTTTTTTTTTTGAACTGAACCTTTCCTTTTGCTTTTACTCTCTACCGGAAGCTTCCTACTTCATTCCTTCAATTTTCTCTGGGCACACGTCTTTTACACCTCTCTCTCTCTCTCTCTCTAAACCTTTTTCTTATAATAGTTCTTAAAAAATAAAAAAAATAAGGTATTTAAATACCCTAAAAGTATTTATAAATGAGTGTCCAATATCCGCAAGTGTTTATTGATTCTTATATACTCTGACAGTTTATTTTTAGGGAAAATTGCAAATAAAGACCCCCAATATATAAAATGGCAATCAGGGACCCTGAATTTGAGAAATTGCTCCAGAGGACCCGGTCTCAATTTGCAATTATGAAATGTGTGTTAAATGGCTGAAATGCCCCTCACTCATTTGAAAAAAAAAAAAACCTGTCCGCGCTCTCCTTCCCCCCAAAACGCGCGATAACTTCCTTTGTATATCCCCCCGGCCATTCTTTGCGGTCTGCTGTGTTTATTTGTGCGCAAGAGTTTGTTTCCATTTTGCGGCGAGAGGAGTATTGTGTGAGAGAAGAGTGTATTTGCTGTGAGAGAGGAGAACGGAGTCGTGCTGGAATAGTGATCTATCGGCATTATCAAAGGCAAGGGAAGAGGTAGAGGCATCGTGACAGTCGTGTGTGGCTATCAAAGTTAACAGCGGCATTTGGCGACAAAATCTGGTGGTAAGTTTCAAGCTTTGGTTTGTTTGTGTTCGTTGCTGCCTGTGTGATACATTAACGAGAGGGAAGGGAATGCGTTTAGGGCAGGAACATATATATATGTTTTTTCTGTTGAATATGCTGTGACTGATTGGCGAAAAATGGTTATCTATGGAAGAAGATGGGCGAATGGGTTTGGGTGGGAAGGGAATTAGAAGATTAGTTAGGAGGATGACAAGATTAGTTTGGGAAATGACGACACTTGAATGGGTAAAGTGTAAATTGAATTGGTTAACTATTAATTGATTTGAAGAGATGTTAAAGTGATAGTGTCGTTTAAAATGACAAAATTGAAGTAGGGGGATTGACAAGTTGATAATGCAAAATAAGAATGTGTAATTGACAAGTTGGTAATAGAAAATAACAAGTTGAATATAATGAATAACAAGTTATTGAGCAGTTGGGAATAAGAAGGTTGCCATGGGTTCCTAACAAGTTAACAATAGGAAATGACAAGTTTAAAAATGACAATAAGAAGTTGGGAATAAGAAAGGCGATTATGACAAATGGAGAACTTTATAATGTAAAATAACTAGTTGATAATTGTAAATGACAAGTTAATAATGAGAAATAACAAGCATGAGAAGTAGTTGAGAATAACAAGTTTACTTTGAGAAATTAACAACTTGCTTATATGAAATTACAAGTTCATGTTTCGAAATAAGAAGTCAATGGTGGTGATGTAAGAAGGCTGTTGGTTACAGAATAGGTTGTTAACAGAGGTGATAGTTAGTTAGTAAATGTGGTTGTGAAGGATTGTATGTTGAATATTTTGAAGGAAGAGGAAGATGGCATCAGAAGGAGCCTTTGGATCAAAAAAGGCACACAACGGTTGGTTGTTATTCAGAAGTGAGTTTATGGCCACAATAGCTGACCCTGACATGACAGCCAAACAAAAAAGAGATGCTGCGTCAAATGCATGGAAAGCTCTGGCCGCTGAAGAGAAGATGAGGTACACCGAGGAGGTGAAGAAAAGAAGGCCACAAAAGGGAGAAGAGGAGAAAAAGAAACATGTCCCATCATTTCTAACTCGGGTGTCCCTGAAGGGATTAAGAAAATTACTGCACTTTGTGAACAATAATGAAGACTTAAGGGAGAGGGTTGAGAGGATGGGCTTCGGGAGGCTGTTGAAGGTTGGATTAAAGAGACTACCCCGTGATCTCATCGTGACCATGCTGAGATCATATGACCCGCCAACGCATCAATTTACAATCAGGGGCAAATCAGAGGAAATAGGAGCAGAAGATGTTGAGCAACTGCTAGGAATCCGTCACAGTGGGGAGGAGGTGAAAACTAAAGTTGATGAGAGTGATGCTACGTATCAGGAGTTGAGAAATGAATATCAGAAAGTGTCATTTAGCAAAATACTAAAAAACATTGTTTCAGGGGAGGAGGATCACAGATTCGAGTTTTTATTTGTGCTATACACCCTGGGTACTTTTCTATGTCCGAATTCAAGCTCAGAAGTGAGTGAGAAGTTGGTTAGAGTCATGCGCTGCACAATGGATGACTTTGGAAAGTATGATTGGGCTACCTATATTATAAAGGACCTCTGGAAAGAAATGGGAGACTATGTCAAAGGGTACAGGCGGGGCAATGAAGGGCAGGGGAGCAGCACTGTCGGTGGCTGCATATACTTACTTCTGGTATTACTATTTTATTTGTCATTGTGTTTGCATTTGATTACCGATGTGCATAACGTTAATGTTGTATATATGTGGCTGGCTTGCAGCTTTTTTTTGGTGAGAATTTTAACCTGAACACGCCTGTTGGCCGAGAGTCCACTACTGCAATTGAATACTGGACTGATGAGAAGATAAAAGAATTGGCCAGCAAGGAGAGGAAGAGTGTTAGGGGAATTATGTATGGAGGAAAAGGCAGTGAAGCTGTGACAGGGAAAGAAGAGAGGATAATTGTAGAGTTTTTGGACCCGGTATGTGGTATAATTGGTAAACTGAAGTTTTTATTTCGTAACCTGAACTTGTTATCTGCCATAGTATTGTTGTCATTTCCTATACTGAAGTTCTGATTTGCTATAGTGACATAGAGCTTTGTCATTGTTAAGTTGTAATTTGGCAAACTTAAGTTGTTATTCGCAATACTTATGCTGTGATTGGCCATATTGAACTTATCAATGGGTAGACTGACTTGTGATTTTGTATATTGAACTTGTCATTCGGTATAATGAACTTGTCATCTGCGATACGTGAGTTGTGATATGGTTTACAATGAACTTGTCATCTGCCATACGTGAGTTGTGATATGGTTTACTGAACTTGTAATTCTGTATAATGAACTTGTGATCTACCATACCTGAATTGTAATTTGGTTTACTGAAGTTGTCATTCGGTATAATGAACTTGTCATCTGCCATACGCGAGTTGTGATATGGTTTACTGAACTTGTCATTCGGTATAATGAACTTGTCATCTGCCATACATGAGTTGTGATTTTGTTTACTGAACTTGTCATTCGGTATAATGAACTTGTCATCTGTCATACCTAAGTTATGATTTTGTTTACTGAACTTGTAATTCTGTATAATGAACTTGTGATCTGCCATACCTGAATTGTAATGTGGTTTACTGAGGTTGTCATTCGGTATAATAAACTTGTAATCTGCCATACCTAAGTTGTGATTTTGTTTACTGAACTTGTAATTCTGTATAATGAACTTGTGATCTGCCATACCTGAATTGTAATCTGGTTTACTGAGGTTGTCATTCGATATAATAAACTTGTGATCTGCCATACCTAAGTTGTGATTTTGTTTACTGAACTTGTAATTCTGTATAATGAACTTGTGATCTGCCATACCTGAATTGTAATCTGGTTTACTGAACTTGTCAATATGTCATAGTGAAGGTGTCATTTCCCATAGTGAACTTGTTGTTGTATATACTTACTTGATTAATGTCTTTTACATGCAGGAGCTGAAGAAGTTACGTGAGCGCCTAATGAAGAGGATAGAGGAAGGGCAAAAGATGCTAATGAAAATGGTGGATGAGGAGTTGGTGAAGGTGCAAATCCCAAGATAGGGAGATGGTGGGAAGGGTAAATCAAGAGGAAAGGCTCGGGTTGAGACAGTGCCTACAAATAGAAGTGACTCTGAAGATGATGAGGAGGAGAGGCGCAACAATGATGACACAACTGAGGAAAAGGAGAAGGATGAAGTAAGCAGTGAAGATGGAGACAGTCATGGGAAGGGCGACACAGAGAATGACAGCGACAATGAAGAGATGGAGGAAGAGGGTCAAGGGGATGGTGATGACAGGAGCAAAGGGGAGAGGGAATACAAGGGTGATGCAGAGGGTGACATACCTGCAGCCAGTCCCCCTAGGGAAGTGTCACCCACCATTGAAGGTGATGAGGCAGAAGGTCACTCACCGATGGAGGTATCCCCCCTGGCCATTGTTGAATATGTTGGGCCTGATCCAGAACCTGTATCTGTGGAGGCACAACAACTAAGGAGATCTACTAGGGTTCGGTTCAGCAAGATCAAGTCTCCTTGGTTGGAGTTGAAGGCACAATCAAGAGTGAAGAGGCCTATGGAGCCCAAGGATATTTTTTTTTCAACTTAGTCAGCCGAGCTGTCAAAGGTGATGAGGGTGAGATGTAAGTGAAAATCTTTGCTTATGTGATCTTATTTGTTGACTACATGTTAACATAACACATCTAGTAACTCACTTGAATATGTTTCAGTCCTTTGATCAGAATGTTTGATGAAGACATCCCCCGACGGTTGCTGCATTCGCTTAGTGGAAATAACAGGGTGAGTAACCGAGTGATGTCGTTGGTCTGTAAGGCTTTGGTGCAAGAACAACAGGCAGTTGAAGGCCGAGTTAGGAGGCATATATTTGATGCAGACTTCATGGTGAGGTTTCTGTATTACTAATAGGCTTTGTTGATTTACAAGATTGGAAATGAAAATGACAGAATAAAATGTGTTACAGTGAATAAGAACTTGGTTTTCTGCATTTCACAGGCCATAATGACCCGTGATCCAGCTCGTTGGGATCCTAACCAGCATGCACGACAAATACTTCCGCATTATGTTGGCTACAACATAGGTGACTGTGACTTGATTCTGGGTCCTGCTCTAGTTGGGGAGCATTGGTTCTGTTTTGCATTCGAACCAAAGACCCAAAAGTTTAATGTCCTTGATTCCATGCGAGCAAGTTTACAGCGTAAGAAGACCACCTCCAAGCAGAAGAAGGCAGCCACATATGACCCCCAAGAAATGGCCATCACCGGATGTGTAAGATGTTACTGACCTGTGCATGTTAGATAGGAAAATGACAGTTTTATATTATTATCCTTTTGATGAATATGGCATATGTGCAGAGGGATCGGTTTGAAGACATACTTCACATGGTCAGACCAGATTTTAGTGATAACTTGGAAATTGTCTGGCCTGATGTACCACAGCAGAAAAATTTGTAAGTGTCTACACCCTACTCATGTGATATGTTATTTGGTTGTGTTGGTTTGAGGAGCTGAAACTGTTAGGGTGGTGTTGTGGGCAAGAGGGACTGTGGTGTGCATGTGCTCATATGGCTCAAGAAATGGGAGCCTGATGTTTCCCTTGAATATACTGAGGTATTGACATTACCTTATTTACTGTGCAGGCTGATGTGTCCTCTTTTCGGCGTGAGCTGATGTGGTGGCTGGTGAACCATGATGACAATGAATGCCGTCAGAAGGTGTATGATCTTATCTCACAACCAGAGAAGGGCTGAATGACCAAGAAGAGGAGAACGTCTTTATAGAGAGCATTTAAATTAGGCTGTGACTTTTACTAACTTTGTCAATTGATTCATTTGTTGAAATTGTATGCCAATTATTGTAATGGTTATGATATGCTTGGATTGATGGTATAACAGCACTTATATTTGGAATGACAAATTTCCCTTTAGTCAGGCCAAATGGCCAATGACAAGTTTAGTACGGGTAACGACAAGTTCATTATGGCCAATGACAACTTGTGAAAAGGTTTTCATACAAATTTGTGATTCTGTATTAAAGGTGGCTAAATTTGCACATTGATTCACGGAATGAGAGGTTGACAAAGGAAAATGACAAGTTGACAATGCCAAATCACTAGTTCCCAAGATGTTTTCATGCAAGGGAAAATTTTTGTTCCAATTAGTGGAATTCCACTTACGACAATCACGGAATGACAGGTTCACTAAGGAAATTGACAAGTTGACTAGTGAAACTTACAAGTTCCCATAAGGTTTTCGTGAAACCGAGATTGTCTGTTGAGATGAGTGGATTCCCACTTATGATAATCACGGAATGATAAGTTCACTAAGGAAATTGACAAGTTGACTTGGAAAATTTACAAGTTCCGATAAAGTTTTCATGAAACCGAGATTGTCTGTTAAAATTAGTGGATTCCCACTTATGATAGTCACGGAATGATAAGTTCACTAAGGAAATTGACAAGTTGACTTGGGAAATTTACAAGTTCCGATAAAGTTTTCATGAAACCGAGATTCTTTGTTGAAATTAGTGGATTCCCACTTACGATAATCATAGAATGACAAGTTCACAAACGAAAGTGACAAGTTCACTATCGAAAATTACAAGTTCGAATAATGTTTTCATGAAACGACTGGATTTTCACTACTGGTGAACACAAAGTTACAACTTCAGAAAGGGAAATGACAAGTTTATTATGGAAAATGATAATTTCCTAGAAGGTTTTAATACATTTTCATACTTTTGAAGACAGTGATTACATTGCACATTTCCAAGAGCAACCACTTCTAATCAACGCAGAATGACAAGTTGACATTGCCAAATGACAACTTTACTATGGCACATGACAAGTTCCTATAAGGTTTTGACACATTTCGTTTTCTGACAGCAACCACTTCTGATAAACACGGAATGACAACTTCATATTGCCAAATGACAACTTTACTATGGCACATGACAAGTTCCTATAAGGTTTTGACACATTCCGTTTTCTGACAGCAACCACTTCTGATAAACACGGAATGACAACTTCATATTGCCAAATGACAACTTTACTATGGCACATGACAAGTTCCTATAAGGTTTTGACACATTCCGTTTTCTGACAGCAACCACTTCTGATAAACACGGAATGACAACTTCATATTGCCAAATGACAACTTTACTATGGCACATGACAAGTTCCTATAAGGTTTTGACACATTCCGTTTTCTGACAGTAACCACTTATGATAAACACGGAGTGACAACTTCATATTGCCAAATGACAACTTTACTATGGCACATGACAAGTTCCTATAAGGTTTGACACATTCCGTTTTCTGACAGCAACCACTTCTGATAAACACGGAATGACAACTTCATATTGCCAAATGACAACTTTACTATGGCACATGACAAGTTCCTATAAGGTTTTGACACATTTCGTTTTCTGACAGCAACCACTTCTGATAAACACGGAATTACACTTTGCACATTTCTGACAGCAACCACTTCTGATGACCATGAAATTACAAGTGCACAAAAGCAAATGACAACTTAACTATGCAAAATAACAAGAAGTGACAAGTTCTGATTTCTTTCACAGCAACAAGTTCTTTACAACATTCAATGACAAGTGCACATTAACTTACATCTTCCACTTAATGTCCCTTTGTCCCAAACATAGAAGTAACAAAAATATATGTGCACATCTACTAACATCCTGCTCCCAAAAAATTAAGAAGGATGAACCCTATATGTGCCAAAAAAATTAGTTGTCCCATTTGTAAGTGGAAGTCAACTTGGGTTAGGATTTTTGCATGTCCTCTTTGTATGTCCAGGATGAAGACATCTAGTGCAATGATATATTTTTTTGTTGTGGAATTGTGATTCCTTTCTATTTCTTCTTGGTCTTCCAGAAGGCCTAGCAGTGACTGGGGGTAAAAGCAAGGGTTGAGCAGTAAGATTCTCAAACGTATAGTCATTCAGGTGAGGCATATCAATTGTCACCACTGGAACCATGCTCCGGGCATAGATTTTTTTCTTGGGATGAACGTTTGTAACACTCTTCAACATAATCATAAACGTTTCCCCCTATGGTCTTAATGGCTGCACAAGCATGTGAGCATGGAATCCCTAACATTTGCCAAGTTCCACAGCTACATTTGTGTAGGCCAAGGTCCACTCTTTGGTCTCCACATGATGTGTGCACGCATATTCTTCCCCCTCCATAATTCTCACAGTGCATGTACCTACCGAAATACACATGCTCCAATACTTTTGCCTCTATTTTTGGCCCAACGCAATTACTCCACTTAGTCATTGCTGCATATGATGCATGCATCTTTCTTGCTACTTTCTCCCGGTGCTCATGGATCATTTGGGCCACGTTATGCTTCCTCTCCCTTACCATCCAAGCATTAAAAGATTCAGCTAAATTAGTTGTTATGTTGTCCCACCTTCTATATGGGAACTTGCTCAATGCCCACCTATCCACATCACCTTGATTGATAACCCACTCATATAACTCATGAGACATGGTTCTGAGATCATCCAGCGCATGATCAAACTCATCCGCAAGTCTTGCATAAGCCACTTTATCCAGTACCTTTAATGCATCTTCCTTTGAATTTTCACTTGTCCTTCTCCGACCTCTGTTTAATTTCATATATTCAGAGCTAAAGTTCTCCTTCACATGCCTATAACAGTATGCATGCCTTTCACCCCCAAATATTGCTTGCACAGCACCAATTATAGAATTATGTCTATCTGACACAATAGTCAGTTGCATTGAACCAACTTGTTTTTGTTTAATCTTGTGAAAAAACCACGTCCAGTCATCAAGATTCTCTCCCTTCACCACTGCTATTGCAAACGGCAACATCTCATTATCCGCATCATATGCCGAAGCTGACAGTAACGTCCCCTTATATGGACCACTTAAATGAGTACCATCAACATATAATATAGGCCTTGCACCGTTCAAAAAACCCTCAACACATGCACCGTATGCAATGAACACACGCTCAAATCTATTACCAATGAGGCCCATTCACAACCGTTTTGTCATCAGTTTCCTTCAACCTTTCACATAACCATGGTATTAACATATAGGACTGTTCGGTTTCCCATGTATTTCTTCCATTGCCTTTTCCTTTGCTCTATATGCCTGACAATATGTAAGCCTCACACATACTCCCTCTCCAACATCTTCCTTATCTCAGTGGGCCGTTTTTCAGCATGGTCCCTTATCTCTTCAACTATTACTGATGATGTCAACGCAGCACTCCCACCATAAGTCACAATCAAATTGTCTTAGGCTGAATGAATGTGCTTATTGCAAAATGTAGTCACACGTAATAGATGACTGTTCTTTCCAACAGCATTTGCACATATCTTCCAAGGACACCCTTCTACTTTACACCTCACATTCATCTTCTCCTTACTATTCCTGATATATCTCGCTGCAAACTTCTCTGCAATACTGAACCTGTACACAGCTTCCCTAAAAGCAACAGCATGTGGAACATATTGGCCCACTCCTACAAACACTCCTGCCCATTTCGTACAATTCATCTCGCCCGTCAGTCTTCCCTGACTCTCTGAACCACTACACTTGCTTCTCTGACTTGATCCGCCTCCTTCAAAAGTTAGGCATTCAACTCCATTCTCAACATTCACTGGCTCATGTTCATCACCAATGGTCGTTTCAAATGTATTCATGTATTGTGAAAGTCCAAATAAATTCTCACTCCTGCCACCATAATACCAAGTTAGGACAGCTATATTCAAACGACAGGTTTGAATAAAATAACATGTCTACATATCTAAATAACAAGTCCGCATATGGTTATTACAACTTTACTAACTAAAATAACAAGTCTACATCTACAAACAATTCCTTGCTCAATTAACAAGTCCGTATGTGGTAATTACAACTTGAGTTACTCATATAACAAGTTTCCATATAGAAACTACTGGTTAGTAAAATAACATCTACAGATCTAAATAACAAGTCCGTATATGATAATTATAACTTCAATACGTTGAATTACAAGTCTACATATGGAAATCTCTGCTTATGTCTAATAACAAGTCTGCATTTCTAAAACACAAGTTTACAAATGGAAATGACATGTCCACTATGTTCAATAACATGCTTGCATTTACTAATTACAATTTAGGACTGCAACACCATTAGCTTCGTTACAATATTTCTATACGAATTACCAACAATATATTAGTAAATAACAAGATTCAATTGGAAAACATAACCACTTACACGTCTGGATCATTCCTTGCTCTAGGTTCCCTATCATTCCCTTTCCCTCCTACATACACATGACCACTGCTGTCATTATATCTAAACAAGTTGCTGATATCACCATCATCACAAAGATCAATCAATGTACTCTCATCAAATTTAACTTTATACTTAATCTCATATCCACCACCATCATTGCCTATCCATTGTAAAATTATTCCACACAACTCGTCTACTGTTATCCATTCTTTTATACTGGTTACCCTTACACTCCCTCCAATATATTTAACTATCCCTTCACCATTTGCTTCAAAATGTCCACCAATGTGCACGTAACAGAACAACTCCTTCCCACAGCTTCTTCGGTTATTGAAATCCATTTTTCATACTAATCTGCAGCAAAAATTTACGTTTAGTCAGTACGTTAGCTTCACTAATAAATATTTACTCATTTATTCCATCGACTCAACCATTTACATACCAAATTAAAAACCAGTGACCTCCTGTCTTCCCAACATCACTTTAGGGCTTCACAACTTCACTTTAGGGCTTGACGACTTCAACACCGAAAATCATGGTATCGTCATTCCCTCATTCCGCGGCAACACCTCAACGTTCACGGTCAAACTAACAGCCATTATCCAACCTACACTCTGCCAAACCACTACACTCTGACCCCTTCCCCATCGCAACCAGCACCGTGCACTACAAATGACAGATGACCGTTCAGACTACGAAAACAAAAATATCCCACCTCCAACTAACCACAACCTCCTACATTGTGATATCTTTCATCTTCAACTACACCTCCCATTCCCTCCCTTCCTCCAGCCTACTCACCCACACAGCAGAGATGAAGATGGAGAATGTGACGATGTGTAACTCTTACGGGGAACAATACAAGAAGGGTTTACTCAGTAAGTTACTCGCATTATTGCCAATGTTAGAAGATCCCAATATCACACATACTCGTTCGGCTCATCCTACTCCACTAGCTCTCCCGCCACCCATTAAAATCCTGGTCTCTGCCTTCATTAACAGTGATGATGAGTGAGGGGCATTTCAGCCATTTAACACACATTTCATAATTGCAAATTGGGACCGGGTCCTCTGGAGCAATTTCTCAAATTCAGGGTCCCTGATTGCTATTTTATATATTGGGGGGTCTTTATTTGCAATTTTCCCTTATTTTTATGTGACCGTTAAATCATATGGTTTGCTAGTGTTTTTAGGTTGTGTTTGGGATAGCGATGGCAGAAGTAATTTTCTGAGATTAGGTTTTGGAAAAAAGTCAGTTTGAGAAGCTGAAACTTGTTTGACTGATAAATATAAAAGTAAGTTTAGATGTAAAATGACTTAAAAGGATATGAATTTTATTAAATAGTATATATCTAATATTAGATATATATGTATAATGCGACTATTTTTTAAGAAGTAAGAAAGATAAAATTATTGAAAGTAAAGAAATTTAATTCATTATTAGAAAGAAATTATATATATAATGTGACCATTTTAAAAGAAGTAATGAGAATAAAATTATTAAAAATAAAGAAATTTAATTTATTGTTAAAAAGAAATTATATATATAATGTGACCATTTCAAACGAGGAGTATGTGTGTGTGTGTGTGTTTTTTTTTTTAAGTGAGGTGAGAGAAATTCGTAAAAAATTTTAACACTCAAATAAATGTTCTAACAATATTTTCTAATGCCAAAAAAAGCAACTTCAAAGAGTTTCTTCCGCAATCTATTTCAGACTCAGAAGGCAGATTGATCAAACATGTGTCCAAACATGTTTTAAACACTACCTCTTAACTTATTAGGCAGGGATACACGTTTGGAGACCCAACCATGATCTCAAACACAGCCTTAATAGTTAAACCTAACAGCGGATAACGGTCAACAATCAAAGTATTTTTGTTATGACGATAAACTTTGAACATATATAAAAATCAAAAAAATTTCAGATTTTAGTTCTCCTTTATAGATATTTTCAGGATATTTAAACATCTTATTAAAAAAAAAAACCTGAGTAGATTTCAAAGCAAAATGTTTTTACCCTGTAATTGATTAAAAAGAAGAATATATAAAAATTAATTAAGTAGATATAAGATTTTTACAAATTTAATTAGCAGTTAAGAGTTAAAAATACCCATAAATTTATGTTAAAAGTTCTTCAAACATTATAGAATTTTTAATAAAAGCATCAGAATACTTTCAATATTTTTTTGGTAGACATTATAAGTATCTTTTGAAAATAAATTATTTGTATCAACAGCATATAGAATTGTGTATCTATTCTCAAGCCTATGTTATCATGTGTAATAGTCAACTTAAAATTTCTTTTACGTTTAGGTTCAATTTTTTGGGAGAATTTAAAACACTACTTTTGATGGTGGGACCTATAATTTTTTAATAAAAACACCAAAGTACCCCAGTTAAAAGGAAAAAAACCTATTCAATTCGTGGGTCCAAGTGTCCAGAAAATGGATGTTTGTTCATCACAACAGTACTGGCATTATTGAGATCTTTTTAAATTTAAACTGATAGATTTAAGCTGAAAGGTAAACTTTTGGTATATTTTCAGGAATATTTTTTATTCTTAACCCTTTAAATAAATATATTCCAAAATTTATCTCTATTCAATTCTAGAATATGCATTTCTTCCTAATAAAGCATGTTTATGTAGGGAAAAAAAACAATAAAGCAGATAATTTAAAATAAGTCTTCTGAAAAAGACCCCTGCATAGAAGAAGGGGAGGATCGAATTAATGGAGCCAGCGAATTCACACCATGTAATTCTTTTAATTATTTAATTAAAAAGGTGGGTTGTGTTTGGCCCGTTTGGGAAAGCGGGTGCACAACTTGTGAATATTATGACCTATTATAAATTTTACACTATTCCATTAATGGAATTATTTTTTTCTTGGTCACAGCATTAGGGTTGGAACTAGATTATGCTATATTTAGTTAAATAGACTTGAACGTGAAATAGAAGTCTAAAACTTAAATTTGAACCTCATCCGGAGCTTGAATTCGTATACAAATGAGTTAGTATAATTTCTTATTTTTCAAATTTTTTCTCATTTTGATTTTTGGTCTTTATAATTTAATAAAAATCTGGACCATTTACTAATTGAGGGATCAAAACCTATGACTTAAAATTTCAAGGACTGAAACCAAAATTTATGCAAATCTAAGGACCAAATGGTAAATTAACTCAAATTTTTTTAAGGCTTAATCTTAAATCGTTAAAAGGTTTAACATGGAACTTTTTTTAAAAGATTATGGGATAATTAATCTCCAGGTTTTTATAATTTCATTTGATTTTTAATTAGTTCCTATAAAATTTTTTTCTTTTTATCAGATCTTTTTATTTTCACATGTTTTAAATTAGATCCCTCCATTTTTTTTAATCAATTCCTTATAGTTTCACTTATTTTTTAGTGAGGTCCTTTGTAGTTTTAAAAAAATTATTTATTAACTTTACTCTTTAAAATTAATTTCATTTTTTAAATTAATAATTTTATAATTGGAAAAAATAATTAATATCATGATTTAGTACTTAATAATTAATCAGAATAATCAATTGTACTTAACTATAAATTATTTATAATTATATTCTAATTTCAGAAAATTTTATTATTATAATTTGAATTTTATAATTATAAAAAATGGAATTGAAAAATAAATAATATATATGTTTAAATTATTTATAATTATATTCTAATTTCAGAAAATTTTATTATTATAATTTGAATTTTATAATTATAAAAAATGGAATTGAAAA